AAATAGATCATATCGCTAAAACCCATCGTTGGAGGATTGCCGCTCTCTCTGGAGTACCGGTTTGAACTCCGATCACGCGCTAGTACGGCTAATGTATGTCCCCGCCTTACTGCTCAGGAAACAGGTGATAGTAAAACCTGTCAATGGTCGATTGGAAGATGAGGTACCAAGCACATATTAGGAAGGAGTTAGCTAGACGTTATCTGTGCGTGACAACAATGCTCATCCTGGGAAACTTGGCATGATATCAAGTCTCCTGTAGAAACAGGTAAAGACAGTTAGTAATCTACATCAAAGTTAGGTAGCAACGTCATTGGATTTCCGCAACGTCATCCGAACTGATTGGTATGGGAAAACTGATTCTAGTTGGCTGTGACTATGATGAAGAACGAAAGCAACTCAAACGTAAATTGACAGTGAACCTTCTCGTCGATCATGAGCAGTGGTGGGGCAAGAGCGAGAAAGATGAAGAAGGCATCAGTGTTGGGCAACACCCGCCAACTATTTAGACTTATCAAGGATACCAGCAAGAAGAAGGCGGTGGTTAGTGAAACCACCACTGAAAAGTATGGTACTCTTATAGCTTCCTAGGACAGAGAGCTAGGACGTTAGGCTGAACATTTTGTACTACAGTTCAACTGGTTCACAACAATGCTTAAGTTTCCCAATATTCTGAACCTGACTGGGACGTAGATTTCTATCTTTTCCCTCTCCTTGAAGTTAAAAAGACTATTTCTAACTGCAAACTAGCAAGACCTGACGATTTGCCAACTGATATTTTCAAAGATGGATGTAGAAAATTACTGACTAGAATGAAGGGGCTACTAGGTAGTGTATGAGATTCATAGGTAATGCCGTCAGACTGGTCTACTTCACTGACCATCCAACTCTATAAGGAGCGAGTGAGGTCTTCCTGTGACAAACATAGGGAAATCAGTTTGATGAATATTGTGTCCGAGCTCCAGGGGTCCATATTTATCCGACCCATTACTTGAGCTCCAGAACAGCAAACTCGAGATAGCTAAGTAGGGTTTTAGACCTGGACTAGGGTGCATCTACTTTCATCTTCTGACAGGTTCTGGATTACATGCACACTTACCGATCAACGCCCGACACCTGTTATATTTCTTGACCTGAAGGCGGCATCTGACTGTCGACCATGAGGTGTTGTGGCAGTGTGTGACTGTGAAGGGAGTACCGATAAGGTATATAACGCTAACCGAAGATCTCTACAATAACTCATGCAGTTGCGTCAAAGCTTATGGAGAGCTGTCTTCAGGACTGATGACAACTAGTGGTGTTCGCCAAGGATGCTCACTATCACCATTCTCATCTAACTTCATTATAACCGTACTAATCTACATAACCTTAGTTAGTCACGTCTGACCTACCCACTGGAGGTCATCTGGATCAATTGGAGAAGACAATAGGTGAAGACGCTGACAAAATGCAGGGTGTTGTAAAAGCATCGGGCAGAAATCTGAATACTTTGGCTGGCAAGCGTTTCGCACTTGTCATATGTAAAATTATACTCGAGGACTAGTCTACAACTACTTTTAGTTTGGGTATAACGAGTGACAACCTCTTCACTTCGGAAGTTGCACCAACTCTAAGGGGTGGGTGGGAGGGCCACTGTAGCACTTTCTATTCAATTCTTCCCAATACTAACTAGTGGAGAAAACATTTATTGGAAGGGATAGTGAATTAACTCAAACCCAGTAATTTCAAGCAAAATTACACCCTCGTATAATATAATATTAATATATTTATATATATATATATATATACCATAAGAGCTGGTTGCCGACGAAATTTCAACTCAGATACAGAAGATCCGTTTAGCATTTGCCAACTTGCGTCATCTATGGGGCCGACTCAGGAGACATCTGACTATCTATCAAAAGAGTAGTATACTGTACTGGAGTTCGTTGTGTCCTGTTGTATGGCTGAGATATGGCCGTTAAAAGTAGAAGACATGAAACGGTTACAGGTTTTCGATCATAGGTGTGTTTGTAGAATTGCTGGCGTTTGATGGAATCACCATGTGAGGAATGTTGAGGTCAGGGGAAGGGTACTAGGGAATACAGGCACGTGGATTGATGAGGTTGTAAACCTCCGTTGGTTGAGGTGGTTTGGACGCGTGCTTCGCATGCCGAACCACTGCCTACTACGACATGTCATGCTAAGAGAAGTTGGATTAGGCTGGAAGAGAGTTCAAGGTGGCCAGAGCAAGGCGTCGATGAAGCCCATAACTATTGGTCCGAGCCATATGTGGAAATGTAGACTAACTGGCTAGGGTCCTCGGGACAAAGAAATCACAATCGTCCATTTGTATTTGCTGGTTGACATCTAAAGCTTGAATATTCGCACTGACCTTTATCTTCAAATTGTTGGGTCTCTCAGCCAACCTTTTTATTCTTTGATATCAGTATTTTTCCGTCCACATGTATACCACTATAAAGTATGGGAACTTGAAGTGTATGAGGTTCTGCTTTGTTCTTGTCTGTCTGTCTGTCTGATTTTTGAAGCGAAATATGTGGTATACAATTAACAATTTTGTTAAGTTTCAATTTTTCTGTCGAATGTAAAGAAAAGTATGAATAGCAGCGTGTATGTTATGCGGATCACAAAGTGTTGTGTCAAGCAAATGCTGCCGATTCACAATAATAGTCAGAAGAAAAGACTTGTCAATCGTCATGTTATTTTTCATATATACTATGGAGTGCTTAAGCATATTCAGATTAGGGTTTTTGAAGAAAACAAAAAGGCAAATGAAGTCAACTATGAGCTTTTAAGTGAGGCAATTATCCAAATGGCCTAGGTAATTTACCAAGTGTTTTCTTTATGCCTTATCAGCTTTGGTTTTTGACAACTGGCTAACAGGTTAATCTGTACATCGTACATCTACCTGGTAAGTAGGATGTTTTTGAGTGATGGAAATGTCTCAAAATGCAAAAGTAAGCAGCCAATGATACAGTTATATACTTCAGGTGATAACAGGTCTAAGAATAATTGTTTATTGTCTCATCAAATATTTTGTTCATTTTTCCAGGTAACCTTTTTATTATATAGATTTTTCTAGGAATGACTTTTTTGTATCTATATGAGTCGGATGCTGTTCATCTAATGATCTTATGCATGTATATTTATGATCAGTTTTGTAACACTGTGGTAAACATTCATAGCAATCATAATCCACTATTCACTCAAAGTGAATTGGGTATACGAAGAGAGAAAAAAACAGACACTGAACTATACAGGTAAGATAATATAGGAAAAAAAAAAGTCAAAATAGACTGCTCTAAGGATTTTTTTTATTGTTCTATCTGCGAGACCGGTACGGAATTCAAGACAGCTAACTGTGGTACTAAACCGCTACTAAGACATGTCGAACCATTGGATTGCAATAAATGTGATATTCTATCAAGAAAATGGTGGAGTGAAAATCTCCTTTTTATTGTGAAAAGTCATGTCTTACAGGCCAAAAAGATTCTCTCTTTCCAGATAGTCTTAGCAATATTAGAAAAGTCATGTCTACGGTGTGGTTGGATTAAAAAGGTACATTCTTCTGTCCCTTAGAGGGTTGGTAGTGCAAGATGATCGCAACTTAGCGAAGCCATCTTCATTTTCCCAGGAATGGCATATCCTTATTTTAATCGTCGAAAAAGAAGATTTTCTTCGCTGAATTATCTTTTCTCTATGACTCGATGGGCATGTTTCATAGTCTGAAGATATGACACCAAATTATAAAGTCTCTGCTTATCTGAGCCTGATTCAAGTGTTTATGGGTTGAGAATCAATAACCTAATGCGTTTGGTAATATGGTTAAAAAATTGATGACAGTGATGCAAGTGCTTACCTTACACCTCTCAGACATTTCTGTCTACTTGGACATAATTTCTTTCGCTGCACAAATTAAACCAATACAATACTCGATGTAGATTTGTCTGTTTACCACATAAAGTGATCCAATATCTTAAGCTGACTGAGCTATTTTATAATATAGAGACAACTTTATGCAACCAGATATGCATTAAGAAGATATCAAAGAATGAAAACATATCAAGTTGCTTCAAGAAAATCGATATCTCCTTCAACAATAATGCAACTGAGTAAATACATACACATATAAGTCCTCTAAGTGAACAAAGATTTCTTAAATATTACATCATAGATTCACCAATCATATACGCCTGATAGGTATACATGTTATTTTCTTGATAAAATTGTGGTTTGATAAGAGAAATTAACGACTGCTGATCAAATAATCGTTGGTTGGTGCCCACTTCTTCACCTGAGTCAAGTTGAAAGTACTTAACATGACTAGTCGTAACATTTCAAGTTAAACTGGTCTTACCTATTTAGTTGAGAAATTTTTATAGAAGATGAATATATAACATAATTTATTTCTAACTACAAACATTTTGAATTTTTAGGGAGTTGTGGAGATTTGGAAATATCCCTAGTTGTTATTCATCGTAGACTAACATCAGTTGGAGAAACAAAGGAAACCTGAGAGCACTGGACAGCTGTTTAGTCCTAGTACTGGACTCCCCAGCAGTGCGCACCCATGACCCCGCCAGGGATCGAACCCGCGACTTTCAGGTCCCGTGTCCAATGCGTTACCATTGAGCCACTGAGTCAGAATTCAACCGTCCATATTTCCAACTTCTGTTAGCTCAGGATAATAGTGCAACCGTCACCCAATGTCATCGTTGAGTAACTGTCCTCACGACCATCAAGCTTTGACTCCATCGGTCATAACTCCTCATTTGAACTTCGAGAATACCTCTCGAAGGTAGTCACCAATGAGCACCAGTCCAATTGAATTTTGATGGGTGGGTGCGTACTGCTGAGGAGTAGTGTCATAGTAGGACGAAACAGCTGTCCAGTGCTCTCAGGTTTCCTTTGTTCTTCCAACTGATGTCAGTCTACAATGAATATAAACATTTTGATTGAATTTATTTCTTGTATATTGTTTTTCTTTTTGATAAAAAAAGATTACTTAGTGGTATGCAGATTATAGATGAAGAGTCAGCTTTAAATTGTATCAATCACTTACACAAACAATATCGAATTTCAACTGTAATTATAACAAGTACAAATGTGAATTCATCTGAAGTAATGTATGGTTATGCAAGTCATTTAACAAATTCAATGAATTTACTTGAAAATCATCTACCAAGTCATCAAACAACTACTTCATACATGAGTATAAAACCAGGTAATGTTCTGATACTTTCAAAAAACAAAAAAAATCCAAATAGGAGTTAATACACTTTTGACTAGATGTCTAAAGGTTTATTATACTGGAGTTGTTTAATGGCATCAGAATTGATGATGATTAGCTTTATAAATGGATAGTTACAGTGTTTTTCTTGTAACACTCCTACCTTTCACCAAAGTGAATAGTTTTTCAGTTATTCAGTATTATTTTCAACAGAATTCATGCTGAAAATATTCTCTTCCGCGTTGGTATTCATCATGAACTGACATCAGTTGGAGGAACAGTGGATACATGGAAGCACTAGACACCTGTTTCATCCTAGTACGCTACTCTTAAGCAGTACCCATCAAAAACCCCGTCAGGGTTTTACAACCCAGGACCTTCAGGTTCCACTGCCGGTATCCTACCATTGAGTCAGTGAGTCCGAATTCAATGGTTCATATTTCCAACTTTGTCAGTTCACGACATAGTGCGACCGCCACTCAATGTCATCGTTGAGTATTTGTCCTTACAGCCACCAGGTTTGCTCCACTGGTCACAACTTCTCACTGTAACTTCAGGAATCATCTTTGAAGCTGGTCACCAATGACCACTAGTTCAATTGAATTTGAGGGTCTGTGGGGATTTAGACATACTTTTTAAAGTTGGTTTTCATCATGAAGTGACATCAGTTGGAGGAACATTGGAAACCTTACCATACTATACTAGGAAGAAATAGCTGTCCATTGCTCCCAGGTTTCTGATGTTCCTCCAACTGATTTCAGTCCATGATGAATTTCAACTTTAAAAAAGTATCTTCAAATCCATATAGACCCCCAAATTCAATTTCTTTTTCAACTGCACTAACTGTAATATCGATATAGTTTCTATTGGAAACGAATCAGCCAATGTCACTAAGTGTGAATCACCTAGTTCATGAGATTTTTATGTCAGATCTTCTACAAACCTCAAATTAAAATAATACATCAAGAAATTGAAATATCCTTTACATCCTAAACTAATCGAATTTTTATTATTGTTAAATCGCAATCAAAAAGCACAGTAACAAGTAAAATTAAAACGTACATTGATTGGTCACTGAAGGTGTAACCAACTTCGTCTAGTCCACTCGTAAGTGCTGATCGAATCCTGTTGATCATTTCGAAATGTGACCACCAAACTAGAAGGCTCACCATAGTGACACACTGAGATAGATGTTAGTTGGACAGAAAGACCTGTCTAACTCAGATTTTCTGCTTTTTGGCATTCGTCAGCATGGTGTGTCTGCAACCCACCTAAGATTCGAACCTGGGGTTTCTGTCTCGTTGCATCCTAATGCTGAGTTGCGTAGCCTAGTGATCGATAGAATTCAATCAATACTCGCATCTTGACAAACGGAAGTTGATTACCTTCAAGTGACCGATCGGTGAATAGTTGAGCTCTGAGTGACACAAGTTCGAACCTAAGGTGGAGCATCAGCTCCGTCGAGGTTGCACATACACCCTGCAGACGATTACCAAAAAGGACGAAACCCAGAACAAACAGCAGGGTTTTCTTCTGATTACCTCCATCCAACTAAAAAAAATTTAATTGGTTTAACCTAAAAATGCAGAGTTACTACTTAATGTTAATGAGTTTTGCTGACGATATATCACAGAAACTTAGTTTGACTAACGAGTTGGGTATGACAAAGTATTTAATGAATGAATTGTTATCAGTGTGAGTATAATGATAACAAATAGTTGAAAATATGTAAGAAATAAATAGAATGAAAGACGGGGGGGGGGTGACGTTTTAAAAATTTGTGATTATTTTAGGATATAAATGATATTTCGATTCCTTTTGTATGTATATATTACTTTGCTTGTTGTCACTCTCAATAAACTCCTTTTACACAGGAAACAAATATTGTACAATTGCATTTGGAGGAGTTGTGGGGATTTAGAGCTATTTCAAGTTGGTATTCATCGTAGACTGACATCAATTGAACTAGTGGTCATTGGTGACCAGCTTCAAGAGATGATTCCTGAAGTTACAGTGAGAAGTTGTGACCAGTGGAGCAAACCTGATGGCTGTAAGGACAAATACTCAACGATGACATTGAGTGGCGGTCGCACTATGTCGTGAACTGACAGAAGTTGGAAATATGAACCATTGGATTCGGACTCATTGACTCAATGGTAGGATACCGGCAGTGGAACCTGAAGGTCCTGGGTTGTAAAACCCTGACGGGATTTTTGATGGGTACTGCTTAAGAGTAGCGTACTAGGATGAAACAGGTGTCTAGTGCTTCCATGTATCCACTGTTCCTCCAACTGATGTCAGTTCATGATGAATACCAACTTGAAATATTGTACAGTTGAATAAATGAAATTAATGAGATGAATCTCTTCACTGAATCATTTTCTTGCGTTTTTTGTCATTCACTACACGCTAACACTGATATTCATTTGCTAATCACTTCATTTGACATATTGGGCGTCATTATACGATTAAAATATGTGATGAGACAACCCGATGAAGTTGGCGTCATCTTATTTACTAGAAAATTATATAATAGGTGACTGTTACCCCAAACAGCTGCTACAGATTACGCAATAATATGACAGTTTATCACAATAGAATGTCAACTATATTGATATCACTATTCGAGCCCATAATTTTATCGTCAAAATAATATTGTTTATCTGTTTTCATCCTGTGTATGTATAGATTTTCTAATCATATTTCTAGACAGGCTAGTAGATAGAATCCACTTAGAACCACCTCGTACTTAAGTGCATTGGTTGAAGTTGCCATACTTCAAAGTTGTATGAGAGAATAAACAGTTTCTGAAGATAACTATTAGTGCAAATATTCAAGCCTTAGATGTCAAAGAGTGAATGCCTCTACGCCATTGTGATCAATTTTCAGCCATGTTACTAAAAGTCCTTAAGGATCCTCCAGTTAGGTAGTCGACATCTCCCCCACACAGCTCAAACGAAGAGTTAGGGATTTCATCGACTGGTGCCACATCCCAGTCTCACCACTCTGAACTTCTTTCCAACTTCTCTTAACATGGCATGTAACCTCTAAGTTCAATGGAATCATCAATAAGAACAAATTGAATATGTAATAACTGTTATCAGCTAAACTATTACTGCACATGTTGATAATAAAGATTGTATTACAAATCAAGTTAATGCAATGGATTGCTGCAAGCATTATTTGAACTAGATCAAAATTCCCTGATAAGCAAGAAAAAGTCGACAACTGACTTCAACTGCAAAACTGTTACTCATTTTTTCGTCACAAAGAGATGGCTGTCATAGTATGTCAGGTTAGTAGAAATCTTCAAGCCTGCATAGTCGCTTAAACCCTTACATAATATGAACAATAATGCCACATTCCACGGTGTTTACCGGTCCAATTGTTTATATAGTGACAGGGATTGGGAGGAATCATAGATCCAAGCAAGAGTCTCAGAGCACATTCTAAAGTGGTTCGTAGCAGATGCTCAAGTTCTTTGACTGCGAAACATACCATTGAGACAGATCACAGAATTAATGTTTCAACAAACATTAAACCTGTTTACAAAACGTGTCGAAGATGGGTCATCAAATTTATAGAGAGAGTCCTTACCTTTCTTTAACGAGTTCATTTCTGAAATCAAACCCGATGTACTACTGTTTTTATGTTATTTATTTTTATTTCCGTTTTCGTCTTCTATTTAACCTCCTTACTGGTCGCTTCAAACACTAGAACAACTGAGTCGTGATGGCTACTACTCTCTCTCCCTCTCTCTCTCTCTGTGGTGGGTATAGTTTTGATATTATTATTTGTGCCTTGGGTTTCTAATGGAACATAGGGCTTCAGTAGCACGTCTCCAGTGCACTCTGTTCTCTGAAATCTTTTGAACCTGGCTCCACGACAGCCCAGAAGCTCTCATTTCTTCCTCACACCATCTCCATGTCACCCTCGGACGCCCAACTCGTGGCTTCCCATCGGGGTTCCATTCGAGCACCTGGCCTGGCGTATGATGTCCCCAGTCGGCCTTCTCAGTGTATACCCAATCCATCTCCATTTCCTTCTGCATATTCGTTCATCGATAGGTTTTTGGTTGGTTTGTTACCCGGCTGGAGTTCCTTGTTGCTTATTCTTTCTGGCCATCTGAGCTTCAGTAACGAGCCAGTGTAAGCAGTTGTTGATGAAAGTCTGTAGTTTGGTGCAAATGCCTTTCGTAACTCGCCAAGTCTCTGAGCCATACAGAAGCACTGACTTGACTGAATTTTGTGTTGAAATCCGGATCTTGTTCCACATGCTGAGTGCAGAAGACCTCCACACTGTTTTCAGGTTAATGAACGCCTGTCATAGTTTGGATGTTACTACATGTAATTTCTTGCCTAGTTGTCTTGTCGTAATATAGTCCTACTGCATGGCATCTAGGGATAAGAATGTATGCTAAACACTAAGAATGCTTCAAATGCTCATAATCTTAACACGTTTAATGAACCGATCAGTCAGAAAAAAAATGGAATCTGGATTAGATTAATACTGTTTGACTTGTCAGAAAATTTTTTCATTCCTCAATCGAAGCCTAATCTCTACGTATGAAGAAGGTTACTACCGTTAACTTGATTAACATACGATGTATATTCATTAGTTGTGTTCATCTTGAATGAAATGTATTATTAAAGGCTAAATTTATCAAATCTCTAGACATTTAATAATTTAAACCCCTTTTATGTATCCAGAACCAATTTGTACTCACTTTAAGCCTACCCTGGTAGTATGTATTAATTTTAATTTTCATATCAAGATTCATGTGATTTAGATTTCGTTTTTTTTTCTTGCCCTTCTTATTCTTTTTTTTACTATCGACTGAATCAATTGACCTGTTCTATAAATTTTGTTTTTCCTACAAACAATTCGACAGGTTTCATGTATTCCCTTTATAAACTTCGACAAAACAATAAGAAGACGTAATTTTGAGAGAGCTGTGGGGATTTGGAAATATCCCAAGTTGTTATTCATCGTAGACTGACATCAATTAGAGAGACAAAGGAGACCTGGGAGCACTGGACAGCTGTTTAGTCCTAGTATGGGATTCCCCAGCAGTGCGCACCCATGACCCCGCCGGGGATCGAACCCGCGACTTTCAGGTCCCGTGTCCAACGCGTTACCATTGAGCCACTGAGTCAGAATCCAACCGTCCATATTTCCAACTTCTGTTAGCTCAGGATAATAGTGCAACCGTCACCCAATGTCATCGTTGATAAGCTGTCCTCACGACCATCAAGCTTTGACTCCATCGGTCATAACTCCTCATTGGAACTTCGAGAATACCTCTCGAAGGTAGTCACCAATGAGCACCAGTCCAATTGAATTTTGATGGGGTGGGTGCGTACTGCTGAGGAGTAGTGTCATAGTAGGACGAAACAGCTGTCCAGTGCTCCCAGGTTTCCTTTGTTCTTCCAACTGATGTCAGTCTACGATGAATAACAACTTGAAGAAGACGTAAATTGTCTGAACCGTGTAATGTATTCGCGCAACACATTTCGAACTATCTGGTCATACACATACTTGTCATAAGTATTTATATGGAAATTCATGAATATAAGGCGTGAGAAAATGAAAAGAGGTCAAGTAAGAAGGTTGAATTAAAGACCGAGTAACAATGAAAATCAATAGAGCGAAAATAATAGTACATCGAACTTGGTTTTCATAGTTGAATTTACCAAAGTAGATTTGATGTGACAACAAATTGTTTATGAACACACAGATATGATTTAAACTTCGTAATAGCTAAGGCCTCAACACATTTTGTAAATAGGTGTAATGGAAGTAGCCACATCAATCCTGTGACCTGTTTCAATTATGTGTCTCGCGATCGAAGAACTTAGACGTCTAGTACCAACGTTTCTGGGTTCAGGTGATTTAATTTGCTTCTAAAACCACTTTGGAATACGTTCCGAGGTCCTTACTTGCATGGATTTATGAGTCCTCCCTATGTATGTGTCACCACGCATACATTTGAATTGGTACATGCAATGGGATGTGACATTGTTGTTCACATGCTGTGGGGGGTCAGGGAGAATATACGGGCTTGGCGGTTTCTATTAGTCGAACTCTGGCTGCACAGTAAGTCCTTCTAACATCAGCGTTAAGTCTCTGCTTAAGGATTGCACTATGAAAGTCACCTTTGTACGAAAGAGTGATAAAGACATCCTTCTTTGGGACTGACTGCAGTTCTAGTTTTGACGCTCTGAAGTTTCTGTGCCTGCCTAATAAATTTTAATCAGTAGTTATTTTCCAACAATATTTCAGTCAATGTTCCTTTTTCATCTTCTAAATTATCCTATAACCATATTCGTTGAATTCTACTGAATAAGCAAGTAACTAATGCTCACTTGTACTGAACTGGACAAAAGCCATGATAGTACAAATATTGTCTTGTTCATGTAGATTTTCTATAGATAGATCGTTTTATGAATCCACTCTGCCGCCAACTAATTAATATATCGAAGAATGGCAAGTAGTCATCTTCCTCTTCTACGCATTTTCATATAAATACCTATGACAAGTATATGTACGATCAGATAGTTCGAAATGCATAGCCGCTAATACACGTTTCAGATAATCATCGTCTTTTCATTACTGTGTTTAAATTTCAGGGTACTAATTGCTGTAAATATTTGTAATTTGTTTGACTACAATGTATGTCATTAAATAAATGGACACTGGTCAGTAAACAGGATTCTGTTTTGTAGGTTTTCATCATTGCCTAACTATTCAGTAGTTGATCTTCAACCAGTGGGTTACACTCCACGTACTGAGGGTCTAGGCAACCAAGTATCATTAGCCCTCAAAAAAAAAGAGGTGTAGCTCATTGCCTACTGCATGAATGTACACAAAGATGTTAAGTTCATTTCGATTGACAACAAGGGCTAGAAAATTTAGAAATTCTTTTGTGCTGGAAATCAGAACAGCATAACACTAGTGTATTTCATGAAAGAGAAAACTAGTCCGCTTTATTCTTTCCTAGATTGCTGAAAATAGACAATGCTGTATTGTGTAGAACTTTGAAGATTATTAGCGGATCTAGTGGTTTAACTCTAAACCTTCTAATTGAAACTGTTATGCACAAGAATCTTAACTCCAAAAAAACATCTGGCAGAAGTTATTTTATCAGATGACCAGCATCTTATTTACTCAAATCTCTCTGCGTTTAGGTTGTCAGACAAGACCAGGAGGAAGTTTATTCGACTTTATGCACTTACTACTAAATATGAAAACTCTACCATTCCTGATTTGACTCGCATCCTATGCTAGGAAGAAACTGTTAGAAATGAACTAACCAACCAACTTTGATTTCTTTCAGAACAAACTTATTAGAGACTATACAGCTTGCTGTTATTTATGTATTATGAATAGAGATGCTAATGTGACTGTTTACCTAAGTTAACTCTGCATTTTCCAGAAAGTTTCGAGAAAGTTCTACTTACTTCTATGTTATTGCTTGTATTATCCCATGGTTAATTGGACCGAATTGATCGATCTCTATTGGCGCATAGACTCCTGCATGGATACCTCAATATTGTCTATAGTTTCAGTTGGGTAGTGACGATGGATGGTGGCTAGCAGTGGAGTTGAGGACGCGCGTTTTGTCCTATTTAGGACTCGTCAGCTAGATTTACCTCCCTCCTAATAAATGGTGTTGTTCCCACTAAGACTCGAAATTAGGACGAATCACTTCAAGCACTAGAGCGGTATCCACTAGGTCTCTGGATTCCACTGCTAGCTACTACCAATTCTATAGTCCCGAAATATCTTTCAGAATAAAGCCATTATTACTACTATATTATATGCATAATCTTAAGAATACATAAACACTGCGTGATGATTAGAAATTATTACTGCCTTCAAAATTCATGCTTTTGTTAATGGGAATATATAATAAGTAAGAGAAAGCCAGCTATCATAACTACTTCAGTGCTCAACTTCAGCATCCTGAGGAAGTTAACACAGGAACTCGCTTTTCATACTGAGCATATTATTGAAGGAAAAAGCCAAACAGTATCCCATAATAGTGATAATAACTATTACACTGGGTGATGATTGAGTGTGAGATGAAAATCTGAACCGCGGCCGGATTCGAACCAATGACTACCGGGTTACCGACCCGGTACTCTACTATCTGAGCTACGAGGTGAAATAAACATCTAGCCAGCAGTCAGACGTCGTAGCTCAGTTGGTAGAGCATGTGGCTGGTAACTCGGCGGTCGCTGGTTCGAATCCGACCGCTATCCAAATTTCCATCTCACCTTCAATCACCACCGAGTATGAATACTAATTTGCCAAACCATGGCTCTCTCAGATTGTCAAATGATAATCAATAACTGTTACATTGTATTACAAACCACTTGAGTAGTGTGGTTTTCAAAAAATTACTTAATAACACCTTGGTAAATATCAATCCTTTTTCTTCCTAATAAGCTTTATAATCTTTATTTCATTCTGTTTTATAGAATATGATCGTCTACGCTTAAGAATACCATATTTAAATTGTCATTTCACTGGAACTGGAGATTTATTCGCTGCTCTAACATTGGCTCGATTAGAAACACAAATTGTAAAGGATGATGGAGAGCAAGTGGCAAAATATTCATTCAAAGTAATACATATACATGTATTCATTATTATTATTATTACTGTAATAAATGAATTATTCCTTGACTGTATACATTTATTATCATTATCCTTATTTTATCGACTAATAGTGTTCTTTAAATGCACAAGTGCTTGGTCTGAATCCTATGGATCAGATGTGAAAGAATATTCATCAATTTTTAACTTTATATTCCAGTGCACTGTACTGCACTGCACTAGATGATCAATTTTCAGATGACTTACAAATTCCACGGTACACGTTAGCATTTCTGTCAGTTGAATAGTTTTTCAACTGCCCATCTGTGTGGTATCAACAAGGTTTTCTTTGAAAACTACTTGGTCGAGATCTCTGATACAAAAATGTCATAAACTAGCGAAAGATGACTACTACTGAACAAACTGAGTAGTTAGAAACTAATCAGGTTGATGTTTAGTATTTTGCCAGTTGAATCAGGGTAATCTAAGCACGGAACCACCGTTTCGCTCGTTCAAGGCCCAGCTCATCATTGGTGTATTTGGATACATTCGATCAAGTTGAAATTTACTCGGGTACACCGTTAGCAAGCTTGGCCTCAAACTAGCGAAACGGTGGCTCCGTGCTTAGATTAACCTGATTCAACTGGTAAAATACTAAACATCAATCTGATTGGTTTCTAACTACTCAACTTGTTCAATAGTAGTATCTTTTGCGCGTCCATGTAATGCAGTGTGAGCCACAAGTTTTGCGTTAAAGCTAGCACTTGTCTAAATCACAATAGCAGGTTTGTATTTTTCTTAAACTGTCTGTTATTCTACATCATAGTTAGATGCTTGTGTCTTATGTTTTTACGACTGTCCTTGATAGTTCTTCACCCATCTGTTATTCTTTTTAAACACCTTGTCAGTGAGTTTCTAGGACTTACAAACTGGTTTTCGCTTTACTGTACTAAAATAGCCTATTATTTCCTCAGACATGGATAACTTATTGCAGCTGTTTGAGTCCGTGCTCTTGTGACACTAACTCCTTTAAGATATATATGACAGAATTCAGTCCATCAGGGAATATCGTCAAATTCTCAATGAAATAGTCTATCAGATATCAATATCAAATTCAAGTAGTCATCGTCATCATCAAGATCAACATGGAACTAGGCATCACTACATAACTCTCCAAGTTGCCACACCTCATATCACCACATCAAGTAAAAGACAATAAAATGGAACATGAAAAAGCAAAAGAAGAAAAAACTCGTAAACCAGAGGAAGGAAGAATGAGAAGTTGATGAGATTAAATATGGGGGTTAAAATAAGGATAATATGTGTGTGTACTACCTGGTGTCTCCAACCACTGGTTTATTTAGTCCCACTGACCCCAATCGGCTAGTTTGCATTGCCCTATATGGCTCAAACGAACAGCCAAGGACTTCATGCATTGATGCCATGTTTTAGTCTGGTTGTCTCGAGCCTTTTTCTAGCGTGAACCTACTTTGACCCATATTGTACGACGAAGCAGACGGTGGTTAGGCATACGTAACATATATCCAAGCCATCTCGGTCGATGAAGGTTCACGACCTTAGCAACTGACTTTCCTCTCCTCCCTAAAAGTCTACACCTGACTTCTGCGTGGCTCACTTGGTGGCACCACCGAACGTGGTCTATGCTACGAAGGCAATAGTGGTCAAACACCTGAAGTCTCATGTCCTCTACCTTCGATGACCATATTTTGCAGCCATGCAGTAGAACAGAGACAATCGGATATCACGGTGGCGTCACAGATAATGTAAGTTGACAAAAGCCAACCTAGCCTTTTGTGTGCATGGAGAGATTTCGTCGGCCACTGAGCGATCAAGGTTGATCCGACTTCTCAGGTAAGTGAAGTGTTCAACGCGCTCAACCATTTCACCCTTTATTGTTATCCGGGGCACCGGTGAAGACCAGTCCTGGGGCAACAATATGCACTTGGATGGCAAGGAACACATCCCTAACATTGTCAAATTGTCACTCAGTGTCCAGAAGACTCTACATCTTGTCAGCGTCTTCGCCTAACAGGGCTATGTCATCTGCGTATTCTAGGTCAACCAAAAATTCTCCTATGGTCAGGTCAACCCCTGTACAGTCAGATGACGAGAGGGAGACATCCATGAGGACGTCTGTGATAAAATTGAATAAGAATGGAGGGAGTGGGAATCCTTGACGGACACCATTCGACATACACAACTCACCCGATATCTCACTATTAAGCTCTAAGACGTCCACAGGTGTTCAAGTAAGTAGCCTTTAATAAGGGGATGTACTTACTCAGTACCCCTTTCAATGAGAGACATTGTCATAAGAGACAATGCCATTGATCGGTCGAGTCGAATGCCACCTTCAGGTCGAGAAATACAGCTATCGTTGGCGTCGGTAAGCGTGCCTGTGTTCCAGAACCTGACAGAGTTAATATTTCGCCTATACACTCACGGCCAGGTCTAAAGTCTGCCTGCCTGGTTTTCTTGGGCTTACTGTTCCTGAGCTCCCCTTAGGCGTCTAATGATTATAGAACCTAGGATCTTAGACACTATGTTCGTCAGACTGATTCCTCTGTGATTATCACAAGAGAACTTCTCGCCTTCCTTGAAGATAAAGATAATCTGTGATTGAGACCAGTCAGAGGAGATCATATTTGACCCTTATACACTAGTTAATACTTCAGTTAACTTGACTAAAATCACTCTGTCACTATCTTCATATACCTCAGGAAGTAGTCCAGCTGGTCCTACTGATCCTCCAAGTAGTTGTTTCCATCGGATCATAAGCCTCATGAAACTGGTGTTAACCCTTTTCAATATCTATTGCTACGCTTTTTTTCATTGAATCGTCATCATATTTTCGAGAAAAAAAGAATTATTAAGTAACTACTGATACCGTCATACAGGAAGTCTTTGTACCCTGTTTTTCAGTGAGTAAATGTAATTCTACAATTTCAGCATACATAACAATCTGACTGTTATTTTTATTCACTTATCTGATCATATTTCCGCTTATCTACTACACTCATAGTTAATATTTTGAGAAGCGAAGTAACTTTATGTAAATTGAACAATAAGATATTCTCTCTATGCTTGACTGTCTCCATTTAAACGTTGGTAACATATTTCTCATGTTCACTAGTTATCTGACAGTATATCAACCAGTTAAATGTTTACGTGAGAGTAGTAGATAATGTAAACCTCATTTCTAAACATATCGTTATTATAAACGAATCGAATTAAATTTCTTCAGTTTATGAAAATTTTGCTTTTCTAACCTAAATAAATAACCTCGACTGGTTAACTAGTTCACTAGTTACTAGCCGGTCCTTAGCCTGGGTAAAGAGGGAAGGTTAGGCATAGGGCTAGCAACCCTACCCCGTAAAACCAATCCAACCGCTAAAGAAACTTCAAGGGCACAAACAAAATATTAAAAATGAAAACAAACTTATTCCTCTCTGGAATCGGAGAGGCGAAAGGATGCCGGATGGTGAAAGCCTTCGGGAAGGCAATTGACTGATGTGTCTTCCCTCCCTCGATGAAAGCGAAAGTAAACATGAGGACATGGAATGTCCGCACCATGTTTGAACCTAGCAAGGCTATCCAGATTGGAAAGGAGATGAGAAGGTATCGCATTGCAGTGCTAGGAATCTGCGAAAGCAGATGGAATGGAATTGGACTCTCCAAACCGTCAACTGGAGAATCAATAATCTACTCCAATATTGTCACCCAGACGCCAACCACGAGCACACTGAGGGAGTGGCTATCATGATGTCCCCAACAGCATCGAAGGCTCTCTCTCTCTCTCATGCAATGGGAACCAATCTCCTCCAGGATCATGACAGCAAGGTTCAACTCAAAAAAAAGGAAGGTCACAATCATACAATGTTACGCACCTACAAATAATGCAGATGAAGAGAAGAAGGAGGAATTCTACAGACAATTGCAATCAGCACTGGATGAGACCTCAGTTGGCGACATCGAAATTCTAATGGGCAACATGAATGCCAAATTGGGAGGGGACAACACAGGAAGAGAACTAACCATATAATAATAATAATAATACCTTTCCTTTAAAAAATATAGGAAGGCGATTGGCTATCTCAGGAGTTACTAGCGTGGCATTTAAATTTGCTCTATGAACATATCTGTAGGTGTAACTTGGAAGATCACTCCAACAACTGGTGAAATGGTCCATTAGATCTATTTATTTAGGTTTATTATTATTTATTTATTATTTGTCCCTTGGGTTTCTAGGGGAACATAGGGCTTCAGTAGCACGCCTCCAGTGCACTCTGTTCTCCGCGATCTTCTGAACCTGGCTCCACGACTGCTTACAAGTTCTCATTTCCTCCTCACACCATCTCCTCCATGTCACCCTCACCACGGACGCCCAACTCATCGTTTCCCATCTGGGTTCCACTCAACGACCTGGCCTGGCGCGTGATATCCCCGAATGGTCTTCTCAGTGCATGCCCACATCCAATCCATCTCCACTTCCTTCTACTGCATATTTTTTGAGCGATAGGTTATTGGTTTGTTCGTTACCAGCCAGCCAGAGTTCGTTGTTGCTTATCCTTTCTGGACATGTGATCTTGAGTATGGAGTGAGAGTAGGCGGTGGTTGTTGATGAATGTCTGTAGTTTGTTGGAAATGCTTTTCGTAACGCACCGCCAAGTCTCTCAACCATCACATAGAAGCACTGCCTAACTTGACTGACGTTGGTGTTGAAAATCAGAATCTTGTTCATGCTTTGTGGTGAGTGCCGAAGATCTCCACACTGGTTTCAGGCTAATGAACGCCTGTCTTGCTATCTTTACGATCCTGGTCGCATTTGACATCCTCACCTGTGCCACCGTCGCCTGTAGTTGAAACGATGCTGCCTGGGAAGTTAGGTGAAATAGGCTACTTCCTTCAAGTTTCTCCCATTAATGGTGATTGTAGCTTGTTGTTGTTGTTGGGGGTGGTGGTGTTGGTTGGGTATCTTCATCACCTCTGTCTTCTCTACGTCCACCTTAGGGAAATCTCGTCTTCGCTGCCCTGCCTCTTCTGTCAACTTGTTGGGTTTTGCCTGTAGATCTTGAAGTTTGTATGACATTAGACACAAGTCATCGTCGGCGAAATCCAAATCTTCTAGGATCTCTTCCCTGGTCCAGTGTATGCCTTTCTTCTCGCTCCTCACTGTTTGTTGCATGATCCAGTTCGATTGACCACAATCAGAAATATCATGGGTGATAGTAGACAGCCTTGTCGTCTTACTCCTGTCTTTACTTCAAATCATCACTGAGCTTCCCATTGTGAATTACTTGGCATGTGGCGTCTTCATGTAGTTGTTGAATGAGGTTGATAAATGTTTGCGGTATTCCGTAGTGTTGAAGCAACTGCCAAATTACATGTCGGTCGACGCTGTCGAAGGCCTTTTTAAAGTGGATGAAGTTGAGTTAGAGAGTTGACTGCCATTCCATATTCTGTTCTACGTTTGGAAAGGTAATTATTCTTAAAATGAAGAAACATGATGAGTTATCTCAGTGGTTGCTAGGGCGTAGTGGTGGCCTTTAAAGTTACCCTGTCTACGGGAGACATAAAATGATATCCTTTCTACATTCATGTTTTTTACAAATCTTTAGTAACATATTTTATATGTATGTAATAGATTTCCTATCAGACTTCTATGTCATGTTTTATCTGTCCCTTTTTTTGGGTGTAGTTCCTTCCTTTCGGTATTTTTTGAGTTCAACTATCTGAACTGATGTAATGTAGTAATCGTGATTTGATTAATTTTCTTACAACTTTGGAGAAAATTCATCTTTTTTAATTGAATTAACAACAACAACAACTGAGTAGGAAATCTGGGACAAATCATGAAATTAATTAACTGTACACTTTTTTTTATAATGTTTATCACTAGTGAGAGTCCTATCCTATAACAAGAATTTTGGCTAACCATTCACTAAATGATAAACTTGGCTTTTTTTCAACTTTTGGTATTGAATGATGTACCTGTTTATCATTCTGAACAGAGATTTTTTTTCTTTAAACGCCATAAACAGACAGACAGACAAAGTCAACGTAGAATCTCCTCACCCACAAGTGCATCGGTTCAAGTTGCCACACTTTATACAGCAGTATACAAAGAACAGGTGGATAGAAAAAGAGGGATACCAAAGTGCAAATATTCAAGTTTCAGAAGGAGTCAAGGAGAGTGAAAACATCTATACCATTGTGATCGATTTTCAGCCATGTCACCAGGATTCCTCAATCACTGATTTCTATCATCTTGAGAACTCCAGCCAGTTAGTTTGCATCTCCACATACGGCTCAGACAAAGAGTCAGTGCCATGTCTTGCTCTGGCCACGCTTAACCTTTTTCCAACTTCCCCTAGCATGGCACGTCGACGTAGATGGTGACTTGGCATGCACAATACATGTCCAAGCCATCTTAGTCGACTAAGGTTCACAACTGCGTCAATCGACTTGCCTGTCTTGTCTACTACCCTTCACCTGATCTCAAGATTACTCACACAGTAATCCCACCAAATGCAAGCAATGCTACGAAAACACCTATAATCAAACCCTGGAGCCGCTTCATGTCTCACAACGATACAACAGGACAAAACGAACTTCAGCGCAGCATACTCATCCTTTAGCATGTAGACGGCTATCTCACTAGTCTGTATCAAAGATGATGCAAGTTGACAAGTGTGAAACAGGCCTTCTGTATTGAAGCTGAGATTTTGTCAACAATCAGCCCGTTCCACCTGATGCACCTTCCAAAGTAGGTGAAGTGGTCGACACATTCCACCACTTCACTCTTTATAACTTAAACTGGGAATGGTTCAAGATCAGTCAGGGAACACCCTGCATAATGCATGCCAAACATACAGCTTTCGGCTCAACGCGTTCAGAAGACCCTGAATTTTTTCAGCGTCTTCATTTAGTAGGACAATATCATCTGCATACTTCAAGTCGACCAAATGACTTCCATGGAGCAGGTTAATCAGTGTGAAGTCAGACGTACATAGGGTTATGTTCATTACTATGTCTATAACGAGGTTAAATAGAGACGGCGATAGTATGCGCATCCCTGGCAAACACTACTAGTTGTCGTCAATTCTGATTTATGGATCATTACAACATCAACGCACTTATTGGTTTAGAGCAATTGATTTCTAACCAAGTTAGTCACATATCCGAACCTCATTCTACCTATCGAGTTCCGAACAGTCGATTAGTATCATAATCCTCACATCAGAGATGTGACTCACCGTCTATCACACTAAAATGCACATACTGTTGCTGAGTCCCACTGTATTCCAAGTCATTTACTGCTTGCAGTTTTCTCATTTATCTGTTTTTTGCTTCTTTTTACAGGAAGCGTTTCAATGGGTTCTTAGCACAATGCAAGCTATCCTGTTAAGGACATTAAAAATGTCTACATCTTCGGATATAGGTTAGTTGTCTGTTTCTATTGTGAAAACTACCCGCTGTTAATTAACTTTCCTTGGTTATGCAACTTATGTTATAAAATATATCACACCACTTTTTGACTGCAAAGTAATATCTCTGAGTCACTTGTTGTCGTACGGCTCGACAACAATAAGATTTTCGTAAGCTCTATAGTGTAATAAATACTTTAATACCCATCAATCTAAGCGACTGCTTTTTTAATTTGACAGTTAGTCGAACATGAGGACAGTTACTCAACGACGATATTGGATGGAGGTCGCACTATATCGTGAACTGACAGAAGTAGGAAATATGGAACACTGGATTTCGACCCAATGGTTCAATGGTAACTTACTGGCCGTGGGATCTGAAGGTCCTGAGTTCGATCCCTGGTGGTGTTGGGTCATGGGTGCAGACTGCTGAAGAGTCAGTCCCATAGTAGGACGAGACAGCTGTTGAGTGTTCCCAGGTTTCCAACGTTTGTCCAACTGATGTCAGTTGGTGATGAATTCCAACCTGAAATCAATTAATAAATCTTCATAGACCTTAGTTCGTCTATTCAAAATAGGTTTCGTTTTCAAACTGATCATGATCATATAGAGAGGGATTGCAATTTAGCTGTTGACATATCTTCGCTTGACCTACTGATGTAGTGGTCGGTCCTGCATATCACACAACGACCCGACGAGCTACACTGGCTGGAACACTTCTTTCCATAGGCCTTACCATGCCAGGAAGGTATTCTGGATAGCGCTTAGACAAGAAGCAACTATTGTCTTAATGTAAATAGCTTACTCTGTGGTGGCAGTCTAAAGGCGAAGTCTTTCTGCTGGCTAGGCGGGGTGTTATAGTAATAAGGTGTTTCCCGTGGATAACTGAAGATCGATGCTGATGCTGTTTTTTTCTATAGAAAGAGGTAGGAAGTGTTCGGTTCCAAAATTAGCACACTCCAATGCCTTGCAGCCTTCTGGTATCAAAGATATAAGTTTTCTGCCTGAATTAAAAACAATTTTCATGTTGTGAGTGGCCGGGAAATTTCATTCGCTTGCATGCTTTCAGCACCATACAAAACCAGACTAGTCGTAATCTACCTTCCTTACCTTAGTTTTCTCCTTTAGCTTCACTTTCTGGTGCCAATATCAAACCCCTAATAACTTCGCCCAGCTTTCAGCATGCAATCATCGTTGGTGATCCAAGCCGACAAAACGCCACTCCTAGTCTTCTTAGACGTTTCTATCACTCGTAGCCTCCACATATGCACCCAATGATAGCAGCCTAGATGATGCGGGATATCAGTTTTTTCAAAAAGTTATCAATTTCACCACATATATCAAAGCGTTCAGATATATTCACAATGACAAGTGACTTCAACGCTTATACAAGGCAGTTAAGTCAATCGGATAAACATCTTAAAGTATCTATGGCATTACGTGAGGAAGAACCTACAAAAGTGATAGTCCCTTACTATTCTGTTCCCAAAATCACTTCCTTCTAACTGACAGTAAATTCGAACATAAACAAAAGTTTTGTCTCATTTGGTGTTGCTGACACTAAGCCTACAATGGACAAATAACTCATATAGCTATAAGCCATCCTTTGTGAGAATCGGTTGAGGATTGCTGCTTGAACTCCAGTAATGCATTAGTACATGTACGTGTACATTTGCTTTCTAATAGATATTGGGAATATTCCGTAGTCAAGTCTTCATGTGCATGAATGAAAGATAAAAAGATTAAATGTGTATTTAGCAAGTATGAATCTTGGCGTTTATCTGAACATGGCAGCAATTCCCACCTTAGTAAAGCCTCGCATAATATTTAGTCTGCTGTAGAAATAATGGTGATGACAATTGATGAATTATATCCAAGGGTTAGTAGAAGGCATTCGATTTCTGAAACCTCATCCAAACTGGTTTATGCTAGAAGACTCATGCACATTGGCTCTAACCGTGATGAGGAGCAAAAATAACTTAAACATTGTAATGGTCGCAGGCAGTGATAACTAAGCAAAAAGAAATAGGTGAAGCAGACATCTACTCTGGGTTAATACTCGGCAGCTATTCAAGAATGTTAGAGATACTGACATGAATAAGACAATGATCCGTGAAACCATCATCGAAAAAGATATGTTCATGATGACCTCTCAGGTGAAGCAGCTGGAACGTTGGAGAGGGGGGAAGTACGGCTTGCCTACAGCTATGTTTCAGTCGCAAGTCGTCTAACTTGAGGGCGAATGGGATGCAAATGTTGATCCTCCAAATCTCATTGGAGTTGAGAAGGTTGTTTCAAACCTGAAGTTATGCTAAACATCAGCACCTGATGATTTACTGCTATAGGGTTTTGACAGTAGGTATTTGGCAGTGTATGGAAATAAGAGATAATCAGCTGAAACTGGTTTAGATGGTTGTTCGTTCCGCTTGACAACCAGTTAAGCCACCGCGGCATCCAAGTTCTAAGAGTTTTTTAAGTTACCCGAAACCTAACTGAAGCTTGAGAAGAACAAACTAGGGGAACCCAGTCAGCTTTCACTTGAAAGAAAGTGCGTCGATCAGATCCTTCACCTTTAGATAGATTTTGGAGCACTGGCGTTCTTACCGATACTCGACACGTATCATATCCCTTGACTTGAAGGTGACATTTGGCTCTGTCAACTTGGAGGACTTTTGAATATCCGAATGTGAAGAGACTATCGAGGGAATGCACTATGCTAATCAAGGCTGTTTACCCGAACTCATGTAACTATGTAAAGGCTAACTTGAGAGTTACCACCTGAAGGAATACCAACCAATGGTGTATGCCAAGGATGTCCATTACCACCATTCTCATTTAAGTTTATTAAAGATGTGTGGTGACAGGCTTTTTGTAGCGCCGCTTACATATGGTGAAATCACAGTATAATGAATGCTTCGGTTAGACACATTATAATAGGCAAAGAAGGCAGGTGAGTCGATGAGGTCGTGAACTTCCACCAACTGAAGTGGGTTAGACATATCTTGCGCATACCGAACCAGCACCCATCTTGATAAACGATGTCATTTGAGTTAGGAGAGGATTAATGGTGACCAGATCATAATATGGCGCCAATAGATGAAGAATAACTCTTGTTCTCATTCGTGTAGGAAGGTATAGGTTGCTTCACTAGAGACTCTTAGTGATGAAACTCAGAATCATTCATTATGACACAAATATACGGTCTTTGTCATCTTCGAAGTCGTGGATATTTTCAGTGAATTCCACCTACCTGTTCTCTTTCTTCACATTGACTATGGCCCTGTTTTTTTATTACTCCTTTCTTCATCCACTTGTTGTTTGCATGTTTCTGTGAGATCTGGAATTTAGAACAGGTTTCTGGTCTTAGGTTGGTCAGTGTCGATTAATCTTTTCAACTTGTACACATTAATGGTCGTTTTGTTTAAACAGGCATAATATGTTCGGTCAGTGAATAGTCATTATCTCGTTGATTAATTTGCCACTTTGTCTCCCTATTAATGGCTCATCTGAAATCAGTTTGGCTAAAATTGGATAATCAATTTTCAAATTGCTTGATCCACATTGACATTTCTCACAGTTGAGTAGTCTTTTAGCTCCCCAACTCTGATATCAACAGGGTTTAGGCTACAAACCAGTATGCAGCGAAGACAACTCTGTGTGTGTGTGTGTGACACAGAAGTATCATGAACTATCGAAAGATACTAATATTGAACAAATTGAATGGTTAGACACTACTCTGGCTGATCTGTAAAGTTTCACCAGCGTGCTTAACTGATGCGTCAAGAAGAACACTGAGTATATGTGTCTAGAGTATTCATATGTGTATTTTATAATCATATGATGAAAAAGATACTTCTCCTACTCACTATATCCCTGTAAGTCATCATAATATCTCTTGTAAGCACTTTGGATGGATTACCACTGTGTCACCAACCACTAGAGATAATGTGACTTCCTCTATCTAAGGTGAATGAAAAATACAGTCAGTTGGCTTTCTTCTATATTGTGAAGCTAAGCAATTTGATCAACTTAACTGCTGTTTAATTATTGTTATATTTTTGATGAAGTTATACCACTTCTTTTTGTGCTTATGTTATCGACAGGTTTTATAATTATTGTTTTATTCTATATCTTTTAGAATCGATGGATGATATGCCTAAAGCTGATCGAATTGAATTGAAACTAGTACAAAGTATTCATGATATTCAAAACCCTGTATTAGGTGATTATGTTGAACAGATATAATGAATAATTTAATTTTTATACAATCAATTCTATTATCATCTTCGATACATAGAATAATTTTATCTATTTGATTTTATTGATTATAATCTATTCATGTGTTCTGTAATTGTCACCTAGATGAACTGACCCTGAATAATAATAATGATAATAGTATCAAACGTATCCTGACCGACAGTGGACTAGATGGATTAGAAAAACTTGTGCATCGTATAAAGTGTATTTAACTTGTATAGTCTCGGTGTAGTATATTACAACAAATAGCAAAATAAACGAATATTTTGAGTAATACTATATATATATTTGTCCCTTGGGTTCCTATTGGAACAAAGGACTTTAGTGGCACGTCACCATTTCACTCCCTTCTCTGTAGTCTTTTGAACCTGGCTCCACGACTGCTTACAAGTTCTCATTTCCTCCTCACACCATCTCCTCCATGTCACCCTCACCACGGACGCCCAACTCATCGTTTCCCATCTGGGTTCCACTCAACGACCTGGCCTGGCGCGTGATATCCCCGAATGGTCTTCTCAGTGCATGCCCACATCCAATCCATCTCCACTTCCTTCTACTGCATATTTTTTGAGCGATAGGTTATTGGTTTGTTCGTTACCAGCCAGCCAGAGTTCGTTGTTGCTTATCCTTTCTGGACATGTGATCTTGAGTATGGAGTGAGAGTAGGCGGTGGTTGTTGATGAGTGTCTGTAGTTTGTTGGAAATGCTTTTCGTAACGCACCGCCAAGTCTCTCAACCACCACATACAAGCACTGCCTAACTTGACTGACGTTGGTGTTGGAGCAGTTGCCAAATTACTTGTCGATCGACGCTGTCGAAAGCCTTTTCAAAGTCGATGAAGTTGAGTTAGAGAGTTGACTGCCATTCTATGCTCTGTTCTATGATGATGCATAGCGTAGCGTTGCAATTTGGTCCGCACATGATTTGTACTTCCTGAATCCAGCCAGCCAGCCTGTTCCGGTCGTAGTTTTGAATCCAGAGCATCGTTTAGTCTCTCCAGGATGATAAGGCTTAATATTTTGCTTGGGGTGGACAGGATCATGATCCCTCGCCAATTCTTGCAAAGACTTAGGTCGCCCTTCTTCAGGAGTTTGACAAGGTACCCCTTCTTTTAATTAATTACCAGGTACCTTTACTCCCTTCCTTCCAAGCCTTCTGCAATAGTGGTTTTTTGAGCATGTCCACTGCTGATGTCTCTGCATCATTTTCAGTGCTTCTGGCGGAGTTTCATCCAGCCGTCCCGCTTTCCGTATCTCAGCAACTTTATGATGTTCAGGACTTCACTTCTGCCTTTTTCGGAGGGGTTGTGTTCACTGGTAGTTCTGTGGTTGGGCTCCTGGCGGCATTTCTGGACGAAGTGCAGGTGGTGGTCGATTCAATAGCTTTTTGAAGCGGTCAGCCCATCGTTTCCTTTGTTTCTCTTCTTTGGTAATTAAATTTCCTTCATCATCTTTAATGGGTTTCATCTGTGTTGATCTATCCCATCCCAGATAATAACCTGGCTATTCGATACAATGTTGTCTGGTCTCTGCTACCTGCAGCCTATTCTGCTTCACTTGCCATTGTGTGGTAGAAGTGTCTTTTGTCTTTGCATGCACTCTTCTTCACTTCTTTGTCCAGTGTGTGTGTGTGTGTGTAAATCAGGTGGGAACAGCCATTCCTCAGGTTCCAACAGCTCTCTTACTGATACCACTACGTGATGAACACTCTTTTGAAGTCAGCCTCCACAAATCCCCATTTGAATTACGTTCATGAAGGGAGAATTCCTTCAGTTCTGACAAAAAGTTGTGACCCTTGGGTTGGGTTCATGTCGATTACATTGGATCGTTTATGCACAATGTCTACTTTCTCAGTAGTTACACACGTTACCATTTGGTAACCGACTGCATAACGCAGACTTTTAATGCTTGGTTTTGATCTCAAAGCGTAGTAGCTAAATCTTTGATTTCAAAGTTGGGTAACTTAGATTTTTGTCTCCTGGACGTGTATGAGTTTGTGTTAATCATGTATGACTGGTAATAGACAGTGAGCCTTGATTAAACAAGGCCTCCTACCAGCTCATTCTAGTCATCCAACGTCAGACCAATAGGATGTACTGAGATCTTCCTGAACCTTCATATCAAGTTTTCGTTATTTGTATCTGAAGTCAAGTGTAGTGAACACATCTCACGTTGAGGTAGTAAACAATTATATATCCCCTCTTTGAGACACTATGGTTTTCAGAAGAAACATTGTCTCCTTAAAAGTAGGTATTATTTTCCTACTGCTTCTGATTGTTTTCACATCATTTGATGATCAAAGATGATGAGTACTATGTACTTGTTCAACATTCGCTGTGAAGGAGAGAGCTGTATTCCAGATGACATCTTGGGTGCTCAGCACTGAAGGGTCCCCAAGGTAGGGTGAAACAGCAGCTGTGCAGCACTTTCTGGTTTCCATATATATATATATATATATATATATATATATATATATATATATATATATATATATATATATATATATATATATATATATATATATATATATATGGTAGCGGACACTTTAACAGTAGCCTTCCGATTCCACCCTTGATTGCTCATTTCCTCGGTAATTGAGAAAGGCTGTAAGATAACAAAAGAGATGTTGCAACGTCGGAATGTGCACAAAATGCAACAGTCTATATATATTCACGATAGCCTTGACTATTTCTAGACTATTCTAGGATAGCATGTCCTATCGATTTTCGCCTTTTCATCCAATCAGATATAGACACATTGGCTCACATACCTTTTCCTGAAACTTTAGAGCAAAACAATTGTTTGAAAAAGACTTAAGAGATTTACGGCTTCCCATGAAGATCTTGGCTATCCTATTGCACATTAAAAACACTAGCGTATTTTGTCCCTTTGTGATACCTTTCTCTCTTGTCTTCAGGGTCGTCGTCATCACCCTTTTGACTGAATTTCTGGTCATGACGTTATCTTTCGGAGGTAGTATTCATCATGGACTGACATCAGTTGGGGAACCATTGAAAATCTAGGAGCACTGGACAGCTGTTTCGTCCTAGCCTGGGACTCCTCAGCAGTACGCACCCACGACCCGGCTAGGGATCGGACTCAGGACCTTCAGGTTTCACGGCGAACGCATTAACCATTCAGCCACTGGGTCGGTTTCCAGTGGTTCACAATTTCCAATTCACGACGTAGCGCGACTTATCACCCAAGGTCTTCAGTTAGCATCCACTTCATGTCAAAAAATAATAATACACTACTGTATAGTGCTCATTAGCGACTTGCTTCCAGATGGATATCACGAAGCTCTAGTGAGAAGCCGTGACCTGTGCGGTCAACCAGTCGGAAGTGAAGTGGATGCTAGCTGAAAACCTTGGGTGACAGTCGCTCTGTATCATGAACTGACAGGAGTAGGAGATATAAACCACTGGATTACGACCTAATGGTTCAATGATAACGTACTGGCCGTGGGACCTGAAGGTCCTGAGTTCGATCCCTAGCCGGGTCGTGGGTGCTTGCCGCTGAGGGGTCCCATACTAGGACGAAATAGCTGTCCAGTCCTCCCAGGTTCTCAATAGTTCCTCAACTGATGTCAGTCCATGATGAATACTACTTCTAAATTGAAAAATCCTCATTCATCTCGAAAAATAAAAGTACGTTATCCTTTGGTCATTGTGTGTGTGTTATCGTGGTAGCCATCTTGTCGTATACAGTATAAGCTACGAACATTTATTTAGTTTTTGCGACTGCGCTACCTTGATTATCAATGTTGCTTAGCATATTGATAGATAATAATGACTGAAGGTGAATGTGAATGGAATTTCGTGGAAACAAACATCGACCTATGAATTATTGATATAACCATGTCAACGGTTTTATATGCAGTAGGCCTCTTTCATTTTCAAGAAAAAATGCCAAACAACAAAATTGTTTTCTGTGACACACTCTAAAATGGTGTTTGATAGCATTGTCTCCTATTAACACATGTATTTAATCTTTAAAAATCCTATAACAAGTGTTTTGTCTCTTGCTCCTAAAGAGAAATTCTCCAAAAGAAGAATAACAACTTGAAATCAATAGATAAATCCCAAAAAAACCCCGAAACTGAATTAGTGTCCGGTTCTCATTAGCAACTTACTTCGAGGTGAGATTTCTGAAGTTCTAATAAGATGTCGTGACCGGTGGGCGAATCAAATCGGACCTGGAGATAGTCAGTCAGCGTTGTTGTTGTATCGTTCTACATTGTGAACTGACAGATAGTGGAAACTGTGGACCATTGGATCCCAACTTAGTAGTCCGATGGTGACATGCTGGCCACAAGACCTGAAAGTCCTGGACTTGACTGCTCGCGGGGTCGTGGGTGCTCACTGTAGGGGTTCCAGCCTGAAATCAAGAAAATATTTGCTAGGCAACTAAAGTGTCCTCATCGTCTGTTACTTCATAAATACTAGCAATATTTTCATCAGGACAACAGAAGGATGTAGAATTTTTAGTACTTCAGTTGTTTGTCATGGTGGTCACTAGCTTTGCCCCCTTTTGATACACGATTTTCGATAGATAACTTTTCTTATAAAAACTGACAGTCAGGAATTTCAAGTCCTACTATTTGACCCATACCTTTTGTGCATAAATTGCCTCTCACTACTCAGTAAGCTGATGCATGACGCTCCGATGCTTTCAAGCAATAAGTGCTGGGTTCGAGTCCCACTGTTCTTTTCATTCAGCTGGAAAATACAGGACCATTTGAGTCACCCAAGCTGAACATGAGGACAGTCGCTCAACAATGACATTGGACGTTGGTCGCACTATATCGTGAACTGACAGAAGTAGGAAATATGGAACACTGGATTTCGACCCGATGGTTCAATGGTAACGTACTGGCCGTGAAACCTGAAGGTCCTGAGTTCGATCCCTGGTGGTGTTGGGTCATGGGTGCAGACTGCTGAAGAGTCAGTCCCATAGTAGGACGAAACAGCTGTTGAGTGTTCCCAGGTTCCCAACGTTTATCCAACTGATGTCAGTCTATGATGAGTTCCAACCTAAAATACAAGGTGACATGAAGTTTTCCTCTTGAATCACACAATAATTCACTACTGAAAAAACGTTGCAACAATAATTTATAAAGTTACATTGTCTCAGAAGTTGTTTGTGCGAGTGTGACCGATTGCTATAAGAAAAACGTGAACACAACAATGCATGTGTTACACTTGTTTTCTCTATTTAACACATCGAAAACTGGCAATCAATAATTTAGATTATGTAATACAAAAGTTTTAAAGGAGAAATGATAACTTGAGTATAACTATTTATTGATATGCTTGTATTTCTACGTTGTTTTATTATACGAGGTT